TTTGCTATTCAGCATTGTCTTTGCAGCGTCCTTATATTTACAGTACATGTTTAGCTGGCTAATAGGTAACAGAGAGTTCTTGGGTTGTAGAACTTTTCATATTGCTTTCTCCCCCACTTTCCTCCTTTGTGTAAAGATTTTGAAAACTGACATTAACGGACTGTTTAAAGAGAGTAATTTCCAGCGACACCCCCAAGTTTTTCATAGAATATCATAGAATATCAGGGTTGGAAGGGACCTCAGGAGGTCATCTAGTCCAACCCCCTGCTCAAAGCAGGACCAATCCCCAATTTTTGCCCCAGATCCCTAAATGGCCCCCTCAAGGATTGAACTCACAACCCTGGGTTTAGCAGGCCAATGCTCAAACCACTGAGCTTTAAATTAATACAAAACTATTACATAAATACAAAAAGAAGAAATACAAACATAAAGATGCTCTAGGAAACATTAACTTGGATGCACTGCATATCCAGTGTATTTTACCGTATGGATTTAACAACATATAGAGCACATACAGAGCTACCCACTTAACAAGAGAAAAAGTAACAGGGTATATTACCTATGGACAATGTGGCCATTGCATTTTTGAACCTTTATTTTGCATTTCTTTGCCCCTTCTCATTTTAATGTCACAAACTTCATGCTGCATTAACACAGGTTTTTTGTATTTACGTTATGAACTAATCCTGAGGACTAAATGTTTGTGGAAGGTACTGGATAGACAGCCTTAACAGACTAAAATCCTCTGGTTACACACGGTACAGTTACAACACAGGTAATGGCAATGCAAGTGTCCCCTGACTGCCCTACTCAAACCTCATGTGAGGACGTGGCTAGAAGAGAAAGTGTACATCAGTTTCCAGGCCTTTTCAGCCCTTGGTCTCTCCAAAGAGACCATCAGCAAGTTATGGTGGTATTTTTGTGATACAGACACTTGTTCAGTAGGAGCTGTTTTGAGCACTCTATACTCCTTTTAAACAAGCCATCTCTGGGGAAAAACTATTAAGATGAATTGAACTGCTTGATAGCTTTTATCCTTAATATCAGTCAAAGATTAATAAATTATCATAACCATATTAGGTAGACTGGAGGGACTAAATTCTGCTTTCAGCTGTGCCTGTATAAATCTGGAGTCATTCCATTGATTACAACAGAGTTGCTACAGGTTAAGAGCAACATAACAGAGAAAAGACATAACTGGTCTTGTTACTAAATGACTACATAATACTAACACATGACTAAATGACTACATAATACATCAATATCTTGTGACATTCCTGCACGTCACTAGAGCTTTTTATTCCTGCCCATTAAAATGCATTACGATATGGGGGTTGCTGAAATGTAAATTAAAGGCTACGGCACTAGTAGTTTAACAGCTGCTGTGTAGATTGACAGCCTTTGTGAGCCCAGCTGGCAATGTCAGGTTAGTGGGTCTCTAGTCACAACATTAATCAGCTTTATTAGTGCCACTAATACCAATTTGTAAGCAGACTGCAAGGATCAGACGGGCCAGCTGTCAGGCTCTACGAGTAGATTATTACAGGATTTCATTTTATTGTTGAAGATTAGAATTATAATTTAATTAGGGAATTTAACTATTTTGTGCATCCTGTACAAAATAGCAAAGGTTTAATAAAAATGTCCCCTTGCCCCCTCTCAACAGGCAGGAAAGAAAAGTAATTCCCCTTCACAAAAACTATATTGTAAAAGATGATTGGCTGAGATGAAGAACTTTTTAAATTGCATTTAATGGGTTATATTATGTGATTCAGAATTTCTCATTGATATCAACAGGAAGTTCTGGAGAATACCCTAATGGTGTGATATGGCCTAAAATGTTGTTAGGACAGAGGAGTAAAAGGATTTTATTCCTAATTTCCTCCCCAAATACTGGATATTGGCTATACCACTCCTTTTTCATACTAATTTCTTCATAGTAGTTTAAAAAAAATCAAACATGCAATCAAACATGTTTAAAATGTATCTGTAACCTGCACACATGTTTGTGTTGATAACGCTCTGGGGAATATAAATACCCACTTCTAAATAGGATCATGTCATAGTAAGTCAATTATGCAATGCGACAAAAGTAGAGTAAGATCTATTAAAGTGACGTGTCTTAAGAAGTCTTTTTTTCCATATTTTTGGGATGGGACCCTTTATCCTTATTACATTACACATCAGTTTCAAGTCATTTTAATTAATGATTTTAAATTAGGCTAAGAGGATATTAGTACACAAAGCCTACCAATGAAGACAGGATGGTGTGGCTCAGACACAACCTTCCAAAATCTCTGCAGTTCACATCTTATGACACTTTCCTGTTGGCCATACAGATTACATTTCCTGCACTGTTAAAGCAGCTTTTCTAATGGGTCAGAAACATGATAAGTTTACCCTTCCTTTTCAAATGTGGCTCAAGGATGTGACTTAGCAGAAAAAAAAAAACTGTAGTATTTAATACATTAAATAAAGGAAACAAAAGGATGAGGATACCATGCGCTTATATGAAATAAGCCACAGAACTTAGGTAGTGTCATGAAGTCTTGTTTATACCCCACAAAAGCTTGGGAATTCAGGCTGACTGGCCAGAATGGCAGTCAGCCCCTTGCTTAGTCCTGTTGTGCCTATCAGTAAGTTTGCTACCATCCCTCAATCTCCAAAGGTAAAGATGATCCTAAATACATCAGAAATGCCATGTTTACACTGTGTAGGGATGGAAGGGATCTGGAAAGGGGGATTCCTACACTGAGGAATAGGGCTCTACAGAAGCTGCCTATGCAGCAATGTTGATGCATTTTTGGGAGCAGCTGGAAGACGGGAGAATGTTAGTACAATTCTATCTCCTGAAATGGAACCCAGAAGTTGTGACCACTGTTGCTGTAGTAACCAAAGAGAGTAACTTTGTTGTTTCTCCAGCGCTTGAGGAGGCAGGATTCCTGCCCCAGTGACCATCCCCAATCCAGGCTGTAGAACCTCTTGTTACTCAGGATTTGCACAGATACTGGTGGTGGAGGTTTGTGTGCTGGGAAGGAGAGACATGTGCCCAGTTTTAAGCACTTCCAGGTTTCAAGCAAGAACATTTCTGTGAAAGTTTCATATTAACAGGTAAATTTTAAGTTTATATCTTCCACCTGAATGTTGCAAGTTGGGATATTTATGGAGAAAATAGGGATACACCTTTAAACTCCACTGACATACATTGGGCTAGGCTTTTGATTGATGAAGAAGCCATCACTGTGGCAAGGTATTTGGTTTTCATTTATTGAGTCTTGTATAACAATTATGTACATTTTTTTTTTTAGCCAATAGAAGGCCCATAGAGTTACACAGTGTTAAGTACTTTGCTAATACATAAACATGTTCCTCCTAAGTAAGGACTGTTGAGTGGGCCAACAGTTACCACACAGGTGCCTCTGAGAAGCAGCTGAAATGTAACTAATCAGAGAATGTACAATAAAGCAGAGCCTTTTTCTTTAACATACACCCAAACTCCCACTGATAAAAGAAAAATCCAGAAAAGTTATCACACCACAGATTGAAAATATGTTTTAAATAAAGTGAAAGGGGCACTTTTTATACTAAAACATGTGATCTATAAAAATGAATTATATTCACAGCCTTAAATGTGTATTTCAAACATTATAGATGGATATTACATACATGTATAGGAGAGAGAAATTATTAACTGATATAATATGGTAATTTTATATTTGCATTTATTTTACATAAATATCTCATTAATAAATTGACTGTGTTCTATACCTGCATCTCTCTCTATCAACAACCTTACATATATTTTGTAGGTCAACCTGAGCTATCAGAAGGGTAATCAAATACCTGGGTAATAAGGTTTTGTAGGAGGTGGCAGTTCAAAGGCTCCAGGGAGCAGGGCAGTTTGCCAAAGCAGGGAGCAACCTGAAGACCTGGGAGGGTGTGCAGAGCTAGGGTGGAAGGAAGCATAGCTGGCTAAAGCCCTTATGCCCTAAAGAATTTCAACAAGTAAACTTAATTCAACAAGAAGGAAGGAAAGGGGACAGAGCTCATTGCCAACAAAATTTCAATATATTTTTGAATGTACAAATGTATTTCTCCTGTAGGGGGGATTTTAGGATTCTTGGGCTATCCATATGACCACTTACATGGTTCTTCTATGACTTTGTCAGATGTTTGGTGGGTCATGTCAATAAGCAGCTTTCCTATTGACCTTTGCAAGCTATGTAGTGCAGCTTTTCACAGATGTCATTTATAATGTTCTGGTCTCACTCCACCAACTGTGCCCTGGATTTGTGCCTGTCTTATATTGCACATTCTGCACTATGGAATCCCACTGTTTGTTTGCAGCCTTAAAACTGACTAATTTACGAACAGTCTTAATTTACCCCCATTTTCAACCTCCACTGCAGTCTTTGGCTCAGGGTGCCAAGTTGAATTGAAGAGTTCAGTGATATAAAGGTAGTTATGAACTTGGGGTAATATATGACCTTAACATTAGGTAGCATCATAAAATATGAATTTCAAGGAAATGATTATGCCAGGGCAAAATATTTCTTGATGTTACAGGAGCATGACTAGACTCAAAAGCAGGTCATGTATTATGCTGCCATCAGCAGCAAGTGCTTCTTGGTAGAAGACTGGTCATGCACCTAGCTGAGGCTAATAGCACCCCACAATTCCTAGTGCAGTACTAGCAACTCTTAAAGGGTCTTTAACAAATTTGCACTAGAAATCATGGACCTTTCCCTCCTAATCTGTTGCTAGGGAAACTGAGTTCAGTGAAAAACAGCCTGCACTCTGAGAGGAAAGGTCCCTCTCCTTGCGCCCTGTTATGATTGGAATGTTCAGCATCCTCCAGAATACCATTGGGATTGACAGTGATGTGGCTCTGCTTAGCCCTCCATCCCTGAAAATAGTAGATGTAGAAGAACAGTAACATTGTCAGCTCTCATGATTTCATTGTGTCTCTCACAAAATTTGGTCTTTTTTTCTTTTTAAAGACTTAGCCCCTGGAGCCATGTGAATACAGGAGAATTTCAGTCCTCATGGTTGTGGAGAAAATCTTGAAAATGTGACCCAAGTGCACCTGAGAGTCTCAAAACCACAAAGGTAAATAAAAAGAACCCATACATATTATTATTTGTAGTCTTACAATATTTAAACCAAGCTCATGATTCTGTGGGCCTTACTCATGGTTTTTGATTGCTTAGGGTTGGCAATATTGGAACAGTGGCCAGCTGGAGCCCCTAAACATTAAGGACTTTTGGGCTCATCTGAAGACTGCAAAGGCAAATTGTGGATCCCGGAGCTTTTTGGGAGGTGGGAAAAGAGGGTAGGATGTTCTCTTGGAAGTCTGAGTTGACTCTCCAAGTGACCATTGAAAGGGGCCTTTAGACAGTTGAACTACCTGGTTCACAAAAGCCTTCATATACCAAAACCCAAGAGTTTGCACAGCAGTACTGAAAAACAGAAAGGCCAATTAAAGTACATTAGATTTGAAAAAATTGCTCTGGGGTAAAGTAAATTGTTCCAGTGGTTAATTAACCTGACTGTTTAAAAATGTGTGCCTTATTTCCAGCATGAATTTCTCTATCTTCAACTTCCAACCATTGGATCTTATACCTTTGTCTGTTAGATTGAAGAGCTCATAATCAATTTTTTGTTCCCTGTGTAGATACTTTTACTGCAGTCAAGTCACCCTTAACCTTCTCTTTGTTAAGCTGAAGAGACTCCTTGAGTCTATCACAATATGGCATGTTTTCCATCCTTTAATTATTCGTGTGGCTCTTCTTTGAACCCTCTCTAATTTATCAACATTCTTCTTGTATTGTGAACACCAGAACTGGATAGCATGTTCCAGTAGTGGTTCCACCAGTGCCAGATACAGGGATAATATAACCTCGCTATTCCTAGTCAGTGTTCCTTGATATTTGATATTTTATGGGTGGAACTTGGATGAATACCATTATCATTTTCCTCCCAATCTGATTCCTACATGAAACAGTAGATCTACCTGCTTCACTCTGTCCCTCAGCTTGCTCCAACCCCCTAACTGGTCTTCCCTGCATTGTGGCATACGGTTTGGCTCAGCAGCATATGGGGTATGTCTGTTCCCTATGCAGATACGTCAAATCCTGCCCAAGCTCCCATTAGCAGAACACCTGTTTCACTGTGGACAACGCCTTCGGGACCAGTGAAAAAGGAAAAAGACTTGCCACCTACAGGAGAGAAGCTAGGCTGATCTGAGTACAGATTGCTCCCTTGGAGTGATGATCTGGCTCTCCAGAGTCCCTCATACCCACAGCCAAGGACACGTGAAGAAATTTAAATTTGATCACTTTTGGAGAGGTATGTTCTGTGCCCCGGCCCCGCCAGAGGAACTTGCTCTACCCAATATGGCCCCGGAGCTGGAGGAGCTGTCATCTCCTGCTGCGGCCCTGTGGCAGAAGGTACTGGCTGTCCCTGCCACGGTCAAGGGGTCAAAGGAGCTCACTCTCCCCAATGTGGCCGCAGAGCCAGAGGAGCTGTCAGCTCCCATCAGGGCCGGAGGAGCAAGCTGTCCCCACTGCAGCTCCAGGACCAGAGTTCTGTGCCCCCTCTGATTATTGGGAGGGGGGGAAACACCCCTGCTTGCCCCCTCTTGTGCACGCCTCTGTCCACAGATGTTAGTATTTCCTACCCAAGGTGAAGAATACCCCTATTATAGGCCCTGGTTCAGGAAAGCACCATTATAGCATTAAAGCATGCATTCCTGACGTGGTCTCCAGAATCAGGGCCATAACTCCTCAAATAAGGGATACTTTGGTATACTTTGCCAGGGGGACCCTCTCCTGTGTAGAGTGAGATCATTTTATGGAAGAAAAGCAAAACTTACTTCTGAAAGTTATTTTCTGGCACTTCATCCAGTTTAGTTTTAAGTTTTAAATATTTAATACACTAGTATAATTTATCTCTGCTATCAAAGCCTTGTATATTCAGTTCCACATTAACTGGCATTTATCAAAGCAATCTACTTGTATTCTTAACATCTCATTTATGACATTCCCAAGTTTCTTACACTGAACTGTGTGGAAAATCTTCTTATCAGATGGTATATGGTTCTAGAAATTGGCCCATTTTTTAAAAAAAACAAAAGCTTAAGAATGGGAACTCTAAATTGTTAATCACTTCTACCATGGAAATATCAAGCAGCTTTTCTTTGAGAAGGGAAAAGGACCCTTTTTGCACTACATACAAAAAGGTTTTCTTTGTTACACCTGCCAGCATGAAAAAGGATTAGTTTTAACAGAGCTTAACCCAGCCATCTTGGCGAAAACATTTAAATGACTCTGTCCCCTGCTTACTAAGGGCATTGCTTTGGTGACTTCATTTAGTTTTACAATATATCAAAAGTTTTCAAGCTACACAATTCAGTGGTTTTCATCTCCTCTCACTCCTGCTATAATACAATGCTAGACTGGCTCTGCAACACAGTGGTATGGGTACCTCTTTTGTGTTTTGCTATGGTCTCCATCAGGAAAAGAAATTGAGGAACTACACATGTGCTTTTGTTTTTGATGATGACATTTTAAAAAGCAATTAATTCAAATCTTGTTTCAAGTGAATGTGGATATAATTGTTAAAGTTTTTTATACTTTGATTTGCTAGTACAGTAACTACAGAAGATGTTGTTGAGTCTAATTTCTAGATGACACAGGAGTTACAAATGACATTGTCTTCTGTGGAAGATGTAGACTCAGAGTTTCTGCCCAAAGGGACAGAGTGTTAGAGGAAAAAATGTTATAACTGAAAGCAATAGCTTAACAATAGATTTCTAATAGCAGAGGCTTCACTCCACATTTTACCATCCTGACATTTTGAATAATCATAAACTTAAGCAATGCAATGTAATAAATTCAATTTAAATAAAAACACTCATTTGCAGTGGCTGGATTGTTATGTACATGTGAAATCCCTTTGGGCCAAGGTTTTTCCAACTTATATGTTCTTTGAGCTTTATGAGTAGCATGGATTGGCATGGAGCCAGCCACCCACACATGGCCTTAGCTGTGCCAACCACACTGTGTGTTTCTTGCACTCAGCTGAATCAGTTGCTTTGATACAAATCTATCCATGAATAAAAATGTATAGGATATTTTTACTCAACGTTTGATCTTGTGATCTAATTGATAGGTTTGCAAACATTTTAAAGCTACCAAAAGCTGTGTTATTGCATAAATAGTTTTAATTGTCTGGAATGTATCTTTGGAAAGCCTGTAAACAGACGTTACTGAATCGTCCACTTAAGAAGTGAAAAAACAAGTCAGGTTAAAAGAAACAAATTTTCCCCACTGGAAACTATTAGATCATATAGGACTGTATGAAAGAAATTACTCTTGTGTAGTAATTTCTAACAAGTACTGATGTAATCAAAAATATTCAAATTGCACTTGCCTGTAATGGGGGAGGGGGCAATAAAAAGGGAGGGAGAGAAAACAAACTATACATTTTTTTCATGACTTCTGGCTGTTCATTTGTTTTCTTTATTCTTGACATTTTGCCCATGACAGCAAAAGCTTCTTTATTTGCTTAAAATTATTTATTGTGAATAACCTCCCTAAGCTGAAAAGTAAATTTGAATAAAGGCCCGGGTGGCATCAGGTTCCACAAGTACACTGGAAAACAGCAGCAAACAAAAAATAATTAGGTAATTTAAGAAAATCAACCCTTGCATTTTTTAGGACAAAGAAACACAGAGAGCCCAGTATTTTGTATTGAACTGATCCTTGAGAATAATTGTACAGCGGAATATAATTACTGAACTCCTCTGCTGGCCTTAGATTTAATCACATTTATGATATACTATTTGGATCCAGCTTATAAATTCATAAATTATTTTATCAAAAATAAATGAAACACTTATTGTTTCTAATGGACTGCCTTGAGATATATCAATAATTTTAATTAAGCTTAAATAAAAGAAAAGAAAATGTTTAAACCCCCCATAGCAAACTCTTCTCACTAGCAAACTATTTTTTTAATCTTATTTTCCTATGTCCTACATATAAATAAGCTAGCATCTAGCATATGCAAATACTTGTTTTAATAATTTTCAAGGGGAATGAAAAACTGAAACCTACCACTTTGGAGCAATAGCATTTCAAGTATGTGTCAAAAGCAAATGTTCCTTTTTCTTTAAAAATAAAAATCAATAAATCCCATGGTTTTTGGAGTTTCATTATTTCCAATGGCAAATACAAAATCGAGTATGGGTTTTTCTTTTTATCTCTACCTAAGTTTAAGCAGAGCAACTGCTCTAACAAAGCTAATCCTCTAGTCATGGATATAATGACTTAGGTGGTGTTTGAAAGACAGTCAGGACAACTTTTGTGGACTTCCTGAGTCTCAGTGGTTATATTTATTGCAGACATTAGTTGACTGACGCTTGCTCACCGAAGATGTTTGGCAGATACCAGTTAGGTCATTTCAGTTTGTTTTGAAACCTCAAGGCTCTGTCAAATCCCCCTCTGTCTTAGACTGTGTGACCTTAAGGGCCACTTCACTATTGTGCCTATCTGTTCAAGTCTACTTAGTATATAGTTATTAGGAGAACTGCCCAAATCAGATTATTTTAAAACTTGGATAACTTTTGTAGCAGATTTCAGAGTAACAGCCGTGTTCTGTATTCGCAAAAAGAAAAGGAGTACTTGTGGCACCTTAGAGACTAACCAATGAGCTGTAGCTCACGAAAGCTCATGCTCAAATAAATTGGTTAGTCTCTAAGGTGCCACAAGTACTCCTTTTCTTTTTGTAGCAGAATGTTTTTAGAAATTGATTTATTAAGATTATAATATATACAAATCTGAAAAAGAAACCATGACTGTGGATATGAGATAGAATTTGGTTTGATTCAGAGTAAACAAACATTCTACAACTGGGTTACATCAACGGATCAGTAGGGAATGAGTCTGATTCACACTTAACAAAGATCATTTTGCACTGTGATTCATTTCTGCCTGGAGAACTTACCAGCCATATGCCCACAACAAACATGACCTCCTTTAGCCTCCTCCTATTTTTACAGTTTAAAGGTTTTAAATCAAATGACATCTCAAAATATTAGACATTTTGGCAGGGCTGGTCCTAGATTTTGTGAGTTCCTATATGAAACAGGAGGGAAACGGATTATTATCCCATTTTATAGATGTGGAACTGAGGCACAGAGAGACTAAGTGATTTTCCCAAAGTCACACCGGAATTCTCCAGCAGATGAGGACACTGAGTTCAGGTCTCCCAAGATCCAGGCTAGCACCACCTAATCACTGGACTTCTCCTCCTTTTCAGGGAAGTGTGGTTGGTATCTCTGTCTGTCTCTCTCACACACTTACACTTTCTATCTCCTACCTGCCTATATCACCTTCAGCCTGTGGTGATACCCTCTATCCAATCAATAGAAATTCCATGGCTTCTGATGACCTTCATACATAAAATAAAGAGCCAGAGTTGAAGCTGAAGCACAAATTCAGTACACTGTTTCACTTGGGACTGAGGTGAGTTTCAGAATAACATTTTTCTGTTCCTAAAAGCATGAAATGAAGAAAAAAAAAAAGGAAACAAATCATTGCTGCTATTAGCCTCTGTGCTATTAGGGACCTTCTTCAAGATACTGTCCTGACTGTCAGTTAGCTGCATAATGTCTCAGAGGAAGTGTGGCATCTTCTAACTTGCTGTTGTCTTAACTCTTTATATCACACATTATCTTTGTTATTTTCCTTCTAAATTCCCTGACCAAATCAAATCCACTATTAGGATGTTTCAGGTAGGGAGATCTAAGAAATGTATGGTTTGACCTTGACAAAAGCTTTCATATCGTTACCTATCATTAGCTTTTTTGACCTGAGCAGTTCGCCAAAATTTGAGATCTATTAGATTGCTTCAGTTAGAAATTGATGTTGGAGTCACGTGTATCTTTGGTAGGATCCTGTTAATTTACAAACAATGTACCAAGTTCTGTTTCCCTGAACACAGCAGGAGTCAATATTGTTGCACACATTTCCAAGCCCCTTTTCAGTCAGCACTTAGCTCAAAGCTTTCATTCATTGCTTGTTCTGGCTGTGTTCTTGGCTTTCTGCTGCTTCTCGCTCAGCTTCTCTTGTGTTTCTACTGCTTTTCTCCCACAAACAGACACACTGCTTCAATAAATCCCCTGTGTGATGGGTTCGATCATAGAGACCCCCTTGGGACTGCCACCTGATGTGCTGAGACTACCTCTGAGCCCCTTTTCCCTGCCAGCTTGGGACTTCAGTACCCTGTCTTGTTGAGCCAGACATGCTAGCCTGCTGCAAACACAGACCCAGGTCTGAAGCACGTCCCCCAAAAGCTGCAGACTTAATTGAAAACAGCTTAAGAAGTGCTCCTGTCTCTCGCTCCCAGACACCCAACTCCCAATGGGATCCAAACCCCAAATAAATCTGTTTTACTCTGTATAAAGCTTATACAGGGTAAACTCATAAATTGTCCGCCCTCTATAATACTGATAGAGAGATATGCACAGCTGTTTGCTCCACCAGGTATTAGTAACTAACTTTGGGTTCAATAATAAGCAAAAGTGATTTTATTAAATACAAAAAGTAGAATTTAAGTGGTTCCAAGTAATAACAGACAGAACAAAGTAAGTTACCAAGCAAAATAAAACAAAAACATGCAAGTCTAAACCTAATACATTAAGAAACTGATTACAGATAAAATCTCACCCTCAGAGATGTTCCAATAAGCTTCTTTCACAGACTGGACTCCTTCCTAGTCTGGGCCCAATCCTTTCCCCTGGTACAGCTCTTGTTAGCTTCAGCTCAGGTGGTAACTAGGGGATTTCTCATGACTGGAACCCCTTTGTTCTGGTCCATCCCCTTATATAGCTTTGGCACAAAGTGGGAATTTTTATCTCTCTGGGTCCCCACCCCTCCTTCTAAATGGAAAAGCACCAGGTTTAAGATGGATTCCAGTACCAGGTGACACGGTCACATGTCCTGGGAGACTGCAAGCCTTCATTCTTCCTGGCCTGACTCACAGGAAGGCTTGCAAGTAAACAGAACTATTTACAACCAATTGTCCTAGTTGATGGGAGCCATCAAGATTCCAAACCACCATTAATGGCCCACACTTTGCATAATTACAATAGGACCTCAGAGTTATATTTCCTTTCAGATACAAGAATGATACATTTATACAAATAGGACGAACACACTTGGTAGATTATAAGCTTTGTAATGATCCCTTACAAGAGACCTTTTGCATGAAGCGTATTCCAGTTACATTATATTCACACTCATTAGCATATTTTCATAAAATCATATGGAGTGCAACGTCACACCCTGCCTCTGTGTTTATCATCACATTGGAACCTCACCCCTCAGGCCAACCTGGTTCAGCTTCTGTGCCACCCTTGCATGTGATTTTGTTTTTGTCAGAGGCCCGCATTGTTTCAGCTATCTGGTTCTACAAAGAAGTTCGTTTTTTTTTCTTACACCTGTCCTGAATGAGGGGTGCCTACTAAACATACCAGTTTCAATGAGGTTTCACACAACCCATACCTAGATTATTATTAACTGGATTTTGGGTTCCAATGTCAAACATATTCTGAAAGAAAAGGAGTACTTGTGGCACCTTAGAGACTAACCAATTTATTTGAGCATGAGCTTTCGTGAGCTACAGCTGAAGTGAGCTGTAGCTCACGAAAGCTCATGCTCAAATAAATTGGTTAGTCTCTAAGGTGCCACAAGTACTCCTTTTCTTTTTGCGAATACAGACTAACACGGCTGTTACTCTGAAACCTGTCATTATGCAATATTCTGAAAGGTAATCTCAAGAAGCATGATCTGCCAGATTATGCATCAAAGCTTGGCATTTTCTGTGCATAGGTGGATCTGACAATATATCTGAATGTCTGAAGAATTTGTTTTCTTCTATTTTGGAGAGGATCTTGCTTCTTGTGCGCAAGAGGAAATGTTCAGAATATTTTTTTTATCTTCTTGTTCAACTCCTTGGGGTCTATGAAAGCCTAAAACCTGAGCCTTCCCCTTTTTCCTCTACAATTCCTAAGGAATGTACCCAGTGTGTAGGCTCTTTTGTTCTATGAATGATGCCACCTGGTGTCATGTGTCACAGCTATTCCAGCCTCTCTTGTAAGGCTCCTGGAGCTTTTCAGATGGCATGTGCTGGTGGAATTTGCATCCTCCCTTAATTTCATTTTATGGATGACCAGGAGACAACTTCATGTGTCTGGTTCAGGTTATCATGGTTGTTTCCTTGACTCTCTTTGGTTGTAAATACTCTTGGTTTAAGCCAAGCAGTTCACCTGCACAGGCCCAGGACTGGGTGCTTTCATTGTATTACCAGAGACAGAGTCTTGTTTTACTGTAGGTTTCAGAGCAGCAGCCATGTTAGTCTGTATCCATAAAAAGAAAAGGAGTACTTGTGGCACCTTAGAAACTAACAAATTTATTTGAGCATAAGCTTTCGTGAGCTACAGCTCACTTCATCGTATACTTATGCTCAAATAAATTTGTTAGTCTCTAAGGTGCCACAAGAACTCCTTTTCTTTTTGTTTTACTGTAGTAGCTCAGTGAGAGTTCACACTGCCCAAAGACTGGATAACATGCTTTTACTGACACATTTGACTTCTCAGGTTTTAAAGAGTGTATGCTTTAGAATTCTTCTGCTTCCATTTCTGTGCTTACCTATAGAACTAGATCTATCTTGTCTGCCATGTAGGCCATTTGCACACATTTATATCAGTCATTAATTAGATTTGTAGCTTCATTCATTCTTGTGCATATGAACATCTCCCTCTCCTCTAGAGGAAAACTTTGCATTTTCCCTTTAACTCATACATTTGGTTTGCTTTCTTTGCATAAATATGTATGGCATTGTGCTTATTAGGGTTCCTAAAGGTTTGCCTGAATGCTGAGCTACTTTCCATATTTGTGCCAGCGTCAACGTTGCTGGCATTGTTCCTTATTTGGCATGTTTTCCCTCCCTTATTGCTCTATTTTGTGTAAAAAAAATTTCTTATTTATTTAATGATAATGTACACAGTCCTGCAGTCTGTGCTTCTAAGACATTAAATAGAATTTCTTTCATTCTCCTACTGCAATATACATATTCTTTTATCTGCATCTCTAACCTCTGTGAAAGGTACTGATGCATCTTTTATAGGTGACATTTTTTCTAGTGACACAGTGATCCTTAAATGAGGAATAATTTCTGCAGAGTTGTCTTTCTGCTTGTTGTCATGATGAAATGAGAGGGTGGTGGAGTATGCATCCTACATTTCGGTTATTGCTGCTATAAAAAAAAACAGATCAAGTTTTTGCTGATCATCCATTTTACTAGCTCCTATGGACTCTCATATACCTTTCAGATTACACTTTCAACCTTTGTCATCTCTCCTCGTTGTTGCACATAAGGGTTAAAAGACCAGTCTTCAGCCTCAGGGTTCATCTAATAAACATACCGGCCTTGGGTATGGGGATTTATTTAGCTGAGGTTACTATTATTACCTTGAAGATGCTTTCTGTTTACAAATGATCATCTCATAATATTTTATCAGTGTCAACATATAATTTATAGTAGGTTTTTCCCTATATTTGTGTACAATTTTAATATCTATAAACTGAGATTCACGGTATCTACATGGCAAATGTTTACTCCTTTCTTTACCATGAGAGTGATAACAGGGCCATTTTTCATCCCTAGCTGGCATCTGTGGGAGATGAGGAGCTTTAAAGGGTCACTCCCAATGGGGAAGAGTGATAGCAAGATCTGGCTGGCTTCTCTTCACTCGCTGCTGGAAATAGCTGCATCAAGGTGAGGATTTAGAGATTCTGTCTTAATTCTCTTCCAATGAAACAGAAGCAGCTTCTTTTCTTCTTACCCTCCCACTCTGTTCAACCAAAACTGACTAGTACATCTGGTCTTGTATCAACAGTCAATGAATGATGCTTCTGAAGAAATCATAATCCCATCTTTATGCACCTGCTATTCTGTAATTGTGTGAGAGTAAATGATGGAGGACAGGTGAAGAATTCCTTTCTGACCAAGAAGGTGATCAGTTTATGCCCCAAAGCCTGATGATCCCTATACAATTTTTATCCTAGATGCTGTGGTTTATCTGCAGAGGCTACTCTTATTTTCCCTCACTTTGATGTTGCTTCCTTACTGAGTGTTATCTAAAGAACATCTCCAAGATTAGACACTTGGCCTCTGCAATGAACACCAAGATGCTTATCCGTGCTTTTGTGATTAGCAGACTGGATTATTGTGTAACTCTGTATCATCTGGTCTCCCTGCTTCAACTCTTCACTCTCTTTGTGTCAACTTCACACCAGAGCAACTAGGCTGTTGGTGAAATCTCAACTTTAATATCCTTAAGTTGGTTTAAGAAAAGCTTTACATGGCCTTGCTTTTTCTTACAGATCTAATTTGGCTTCATCCTACTTTCTAAGGACAGCCTTGTATTCTGCTAAAGCTGACATGGATTAGAAGTGCACTGGCCCTAGGACTAAATTGCTGGTGACCGAACATTTCCTGATTTTCCAGGCATCATGCTCAGTTCTCCTTCTGGGGAAGATGAATGTTGTCTTTGATTTTTATCCACTGGGTCCAATGCCCCTCCCACTGAAGTCAACGATAAAACTTTCGCTGACTGTAACAGAAGGAGTTATATACAAAAATATAGTCTGTATTAATCAAAAAACTTTGCTCCCTTTTAGCCTCTTTCATCTGATTTATTTCAGTAAATTTCAAACACCATGGTCCTCAAAGATAATTTTAGCCCTGGTCTACACTAGGACTTTAGGTCAAAGTTAGCAGCGTTAAATCAATGTAAACCTGCACCCGTCCACACGATGAAGCCCTTTTTTTTTTAAGGGCTCTTAAAATCGATTTCCTTACTCCACCCCTGACAAGTGGATTAGCGCTTAAATCAGCCTTGCCGGGTCGAAGTTGGGGTACTGTGGACACAATTCAACGGTATTGGCCTCCTGGAGCTATCCCAGAGTGCTCCATTGTGACCGCTCTGGACAGCACTCTCAACTCAGATGCACTGGCCAGGTAGATAGGAAAAGAACCGCGAACTTTTGAATCTCATTTTCTGTTTGGCCAGCGTGGCAAGCTGCAGGTGACCATGCAGAGCTCATCAGCAGAGGTGACCATGATGGAGTCCCAGAATCGCAAAAGAGCTCCAGCATGGACTGAATGGGAGGTACGGGATCTGATTGCTGTATGGGGAAAGGAATCCGTGCTATCAAAATTCCTTTCCAGTTTTCGAAATGCCAAAACGTTTGTCAAAATCTCCCAGGGCATGAAGGACAGAGGCCATAACAGGGACCCGAAGCAGTGCCGCATGAAACTTAAGGAGCTGAGGCAAGCCTACCAGAAAACCAGAGAGGCGAACGGCCGCTCCGGGTCAGAGCCCCAAACATGCCACTTCTATGATGATCTGCATGCCATTTTAGGGGGTTCAGCCACCACTACCCCAGCCGTGTTGTTTGACTCCTTCAATGGAGATGGAGGCAACACGGAAGCAGGTTTTGGGGACGAAGAAGATGATGATGATAAGGTTGTAGATAGCTCACAGCAAGCAAGCAGAGAAACCAGTTTTCCCGACAGCCAGGAACTGTTTCTCACCCTGGACCTGGAGCCAGTAACCCCCGAACCCACCCAAGGCTGCCTCCTGGACCCGGCAGGCGGAGAAGGGACCTCCGGTGAGTGTACCTTTTAAAATACTATACATGGTTTAAAAGCAAGCATGTGAAAGGATTAATTTGCCCTGGCATTCGCGGCTCTCCTGGATGTACTCCCAAAGTCTTTGCAAAAGGTTTGTGGGGAGGGCAGCCTTACTGCATCCTCCATGGTAGGACACTTTACCACTCCAGGCCAGTAACACATACTCGGGAATCATTGTACAACAAAGCATTGCAGTGTATGTTTGCTGGCGTTCAAAAAACATCTGTTCTTTATCTCTCTGTGTTATCCTCAGGAGAGTGAGATATCATTCATGCCACCTGGTTGAAATAGGGTGCTTTTCTTCAGGGGACACTCAGAGGAGCCCGTTCCTGCTGGGCTGTTTGCCTGTGGCTGAACAGAAATGTTCCCCACTGTTAGCCACGGGGAGGGGGAAGGGTTGAGGGGGTAGCAACGCGGTGGGGGGAGGCAAAATGCGACCTTGTAACGAAAGCACATGTGCTATGTATGTAATGTTAACAGCAAGGTTTTCCCTGAAGGAGTGTAGCCTCTGTTTTATAAAATGTGTATCTTTAAATACCACTGTCCCTTTTTTTTTCTCCACCAGCTGCATGTGTTTCAATGATCACAGGATCTTCTCCTTCCCAGAGGCTAGTGAAGATTTGAAAGAAAAAAAAATGCACTCGTGATGAAATGTTCTCTGAGCTCATGCTGTCCTCCCACACTGACAGAGCACAGACGAATGCGTGGAGGCAAATAATGGCAGAGTGCAGGAAAGCACAAAATGACTGGGAGGAGAGGTGGTGGGCTGAAGAGAGTAAGTGGCGGACTAACTAATATACTCCAGCGTATGGTTGAGCTGCAGGAAAGGCAGCAGGAGCACAGACCGTTGCTATAGTCCCTGTGTAACCAACCACCCTCCTCCCCCAGTTCCATAGCCTCCACACCCAGACGCCCAAGAACGCGGTGGGGGGGCCTCCGGCCAACCAGCCACTCCACCACAGAGGATTGCCCAAAAAACAGAAGGCTGTCATTCAATAAATTTTAAAGTCGTAAACTTTTGAAGTGCTGTGTGGCATTTTCCTTCCCTCCTCCATCATCCCTCCTTGGTAGTCATCCCCCTATTTGTGTGATGAATGAATAAAGAATGCATGAATGTGAAGCAACAATGACTTTATTGTCTCTGCAAGTGGTGATCGAAGGGAGGAGGGGAGAGTGGTTAGCTTACAGGGAAGTAGAATGAACCAAGTGGCGGGGGGTTTCATCAAGAAGAAACAAACAGAACTTTCACATCGTAGCCTGGCCAGTTATGAAACTGGTTTTCAAAGCTTCTCTGATGCGTACCGCGCCCTCCTGTGCTCTTCTAACCGCCCTGGTGTCTGGCTGCACGTAACCAGCAGCCAGGCGATTTGGCTCAACCTCCCACCCTGCCATAAACGTCTCCCCCTTACTCTCACAGATATTGTGGAGTGCACAGCAAGCAGTAATAACAGTGTGAATATTGGTTTCGCTGAGGTCTAAGCAAGTCAGTAAATTGCGCCAGCGCGCCTTTAAACGTCCAAATGTACATTCTACCACCATTCTGCACTTGCTCAGCCTGTAGTTGAACAGCTCCTGACTACTGTTCAGGCTGCCTGTGTACGGCTTCATGAGCCATGGCATTAAGGGGTAGGCTGGGTCCCCAAGGATAACTATAGACATTTCAACATCCCCAACAGTTATTTTCTGGTCTGGGAATAAAGTCCCTTCCTGCAGCTTTTAAAACAGACCAGAGTTCCTGAAGATGCGAGTGTCATGTACCTTTCCCGGCCATCCCACGTTGATGTTGGTGAAACGTCCCTTGTGATCCACCAGAGCTTGCAGCACTATTGAAAAGTACCCCTTGCGGTTTATGTGCTCGCCGGCTTGGTGCTCCGGTGCCATGATAGGGATATGGATTCCATCTATGGCCCCACCACAGTTAGGGAATCCCATTGCAGCAAAGCCATCCACTATGATCTGCACATTTCCCAGGGTCACTACCCTTGATATCAGCAGATCTTTGATTGCGTGGGCTACTTGCATCACAGCAGCCCCCACAGTAGATTTGCCCACTCCAAATTGATTCCCAACTGACCGGTAGCTGTCTGGCATTGCAAGCTTCCACAGGGCTATCGCCACTCGCTTCTCAACTGTGACGGCTGCTCTCATCTTGGTATTCATGCGCTTCAGGGCAGGGGAAAGCAAGTCACAAAGTTCCATGAAAGTGCCCTTACGAATGCGAAATTTTCGCAGCCACTGGGAATCGTCCCAGACCTGCAACACAATGCGGTCCCACCAGTCTGTGCTTGTTTCCCGAGCCCAGAATCAGAGTTCCACAGCATGAACCTGCCCCATTAGCACCATGATGCATGCATTGGCAGGGCCCATGCTTTCAGAGAAATCTGTGTCCATGTCCTGATCACTCATGTGACCGTGCTGACGTCGCCTCCTAACCTGGTATCGCTCTGCCAGGTTCTGCTGCTGCATATACTGCTGGATAATGCGTGTGGTGTTTAATGTGCTCCTAAGTAAGTGAGCTGAGCGGCCTCCATGCTTGCCTTGGTATGGCGTCCGCACAGAAAAAAGGCGCGGAACAATTGTCTGCCGCTGCTCTGACGGAGGGAGGGGCGACTGACGACATGACTTACAGGGAATTAAAATCAACAAAGGGGGTGGCTTTACATCAATGAGTATTTCAGGCAGGACTTCACGGAGGGTTCCAATAAGAAATGGTGCACCTAACTAATTGTTCTTATTGGAACAAGCAGGTTGGTCTGGCCTCTGATTGATACATGGCTAGATTTACCTCGCTGCACCTTCTCTGTGAGTGACTGCAGTCTGACCTAGAGGAATGAGTCCCCTAGACGGGGGAGGGGGGAAGCAAATGAGTACAAAACAAATCTGGTCTCTTTCTTGTTTTGATCCACTCCATCTATCTTTTACATCTTTGGCTGGCAGCAGACGGTGCAGAAGGACTGCAAGCCATCCACATCTCGTGGCTGCTCGGCAGAAGATGGTGCAGAAGGACTGCTAGCCATCCTCATCTCTTGCCTGCCTGGCAGAAGATGATACAATAGGACTGCTATCAATCCGTATCGCCTGCCTGCTCACCATAAGATGGTTCAATAGGACTGACTGCAGGACTAAAGAGAATGACCTGGTCAAGTCACTCCAAATTTAGTCCCTGTGCCCATGTCTGCCCAGGCACTCCTGGCCGACGTGGCCAGGAGCACCTCGGACATGACGATGACAGCTATCAGTCGTACTGTACCGTCTGCTGCCACAAGGCAATGGGTTGATGCTGCTGTGTAGCAATGCAGTACCACGTCTGCCAGCACCCAGGAGACATACGGTGACGGTTACCTGAGCGGGCTCCATGCTTGCCGTGGTATGACGTCTGCACAGGTAACTCAAGAAAAAAGGAGCGAAACGATTGTCTGCTGCTGCTTTCATGGAGGGAGGGAGGGAGGGAATGGGGGCCTGACGATATGTACCCAGAACCACCTGCGACAATGTTTTAGCCCCATCAGGCATTGGGATCTCAACCCAGAATTCCAGTGGGCAGCGGAGACTGCAGGAACTGTGGGATAGCTACCCACAATGCAACACTCCGAAAGTCGACGCTTGCCTCGGTACTGTGGAAGCACTCCGCCGAGTTAATGCACTTAATGCACTTAGAGCATTTTCTGTGGGGACACACACACTCGAATATATAAAAACGATTTCTAAAAAAACGACTTCTACAAATTCGACCTAATTTCGTAGTGTAGACATACCCTTAGACTAGTGCTTATTAAGAATCTGATCCAAAGCCCATGGAAATCAATGGGAGTTTTTGGATGGGCTTTTAATCAGATCCTAAAATTACACACACAGTGTATTCTCCTCTAACCTTTTACATACTCCTGAGTTTTATAAACATGTTATCCTCTTTTGTCTTCTTACCTCTTGTGGTTTCCATTGCCACATGCTCTTCAAACAATCTTTCTTGGCTCAACATACCTTGTTTTTTAATCATCCCGCAGAAACACACCTTGTTCTGCATGCACAAACAGGCATGCGTCACCCTCAGCATGTCCCATCGATGCGAAAACATTGATATGTCCAAACTATCTTCAAGCAACACAAGTACACAGCCTGTTCCTATACAAAATGCCAGGAAGGTGACAAATCCTACCAATGTCAGTGGGTTAATAAACAAGGAGGACACCTCCCCACTTACATAATCAGACATTACTAATGACTGTTAGGGATGAGGTGGGTGAAAGGGCCCTCTATTGAAAGTATTTTTCCAACCACAGTCACCCATTATCCAGGTAGCTTGTGATCCCAATCAGAACTCAGATGTTGCAGTTGTTCTGCTTCACTTTCTCTGTGACTGAATGATGGGCCTCTTGAATGATTACGAATCCCACAGCTTCTGATGATGACTCCTGGGCTGTAATTTTTGAGCAATACTGTAAAATAGTCTTTATTCCTTTGTCCATGTATGGTCGCTGGAAATTCACTGGCTAATCAGATATTCAAGAAAATATCACTACACATGAAATGATGATGAGAGCATGGGCAAATAGCATCTTTGTGACCTACTGTAAATTACATTTCAGAATGTCAGGCAACAGAGTTGAGCAGCAGAAACCAATTGTGCAGATTTAGAATCAGACTATTTTTTTACCTTAACCTATCAACTGCATATCTGGAAAGGCTTGGAGACCTCAAATTCTAGGGCTGTAGTTGCCATATCGCCACCCCAAAAGGCTTGATACTGCAACCATTCTGCATGCATAACTCCTATATGCTCAGTGCATTTAAGTTCACTCTGGTTTATTTGTTATGCACTATTTACAAATGTGAACAATATCAAGAGAAGACAGTTTAATTGCTGCAGTAGCTGCATATTTGGCAGAAAATGACAAAGGGAGCTGTGGGCATCATACAACTTATTATTATTTACTATTTCTCATGTGCTGTTGCTCTGCTTGACACAATACAAACAAGGTGTCAGAGTCCTTGACCTGAATATTGATTTGGGCATGTTATAACACAGCAGGTGATGCAATAGGTGCTGGAGTAAGCTACACGTCAGATGCATGTTATTCTGAAACAAGGGGTAAGTGGTACTTGCACTGATTCTGTAATCAGTGGGTGTCCAAATTGAGTGGAACTTGCATGCTAAGGGAGGTGGAAAGGTTATGGAGAAATAGTAGAAAAAACAGCTCACATAAGATTGTAAATTAAAGAAGGGAGGAGTGTCAGAATGGATGGCAAGTATGAATCTCATTGAAGTACATATTGTTCCTTTGCTGAACAGTTGCAGGTTTCAGGACCTTTTTCAGGTTAGTTTCCTATTTGGATCAGAAATCTGTGATGTGTGGTGTTTTCTTAATGATTCCTCCACATGACGTGTAACTAACAGAAATCTCAGGTGAAGCACTACTACCCTGTCCCAAGAAGCAGCCATCTTGGGTCTCAGCCTCTCTGGAGGGTTTCATACCCATCCAACTGCTTAAACACACTCTGTACCCCTTCTTCTCCCTCAGCCCCTGCACTTTATGCCAGGGAAATGCCTATTGTGAGGCTCTTCTCAGACCATATGATCTGGTGACCTGGCAATTTACCTGTCTCTTGTGCAGCAGCTCTGCAATACAAAGGAAGCTCAGAAAGGTATAAAGGCCCACCCCAGGAAGGGTTCCCATTCCCATTAATTACCCTCTGAATGTGGTTACTGAATGATGTATTAAATGTTTACTCATGTGCTTAACTTTGACTTCAGTGGAATTCAGTGCTTTTTAAGCATGTGTAAGTGTTTGCAGGACTGTAGCCTTAGAAAACAACCAGAGACTTTTAAGATGGTCCTGAACCAATATATGAGATCTATCTATCTTACATTTTTGTCCCAATGTTAGACTCTCATGCTCTGAAGTATATTTAAGTGAATCACCAACATTTAAATATTGTTTTATAGCTCTGTATTTGGTATATTATATATTTGGGGGCTGGTTAGGAAAAT